TGTGTGTGTGTGTGTGTGTATATATGTGTGTGTATAATAATATATATATATATAATATATAATTAGTATATATATGTATGTGTGTGTGTGTGTGTGTGTGTGTGTGTGTGTGTGTATACACACCACTTGACATCCCTTCACAAGCCTTCACACCTTGGGTTCTTGAGCACGCGTGTTACGTTCCCTCTCGGCCTGCAGTGATTCGTCTGTGAGACAATCCAACGATGCGTCTGTAGCTGTCTGTCCATCCGTGTCTGTGTTTGTGTTCCTGTTCGGCAGCCCCGTTGATGACAAATCAGTGCGTACGTCTGTAGCTAAATCGGTAGGTAAATCGGTAGGTAAAACTGTAGATAAGCGCTCGTTAGTGGGCACATTGCCCTGTGTGTCTGATGTGTCGGTGGCACCATCGTCCATTCGTTCGTCTGTGCGCTTGTCTGTATCGGTGTTCTGATCTGTTCCGTTGAGACGCTGCGGCTCTGTCTCTGCACTCATACTCCCGCGCTCACCCGTCAAAGTGTCAGTGTCACCTCTTGTCGACGTGTCATGTGGAGCTCCCTCAGCCTCCTGTTCTGTTGCCAGTGCATCGGTGCTGCCAGTCGTGACAGTGTCACCATTGGCATCTGTCAACGTGTCGTGGTCGTCTGTGTGTGCCTGCCCATAACCCTCGCCAGATGCCTGTGTGTCAGTATACACATCCGCCTGGGTCTCGGCTCCCGTGTCTGTGTGCGTATGGCCCTGCGTGTCTGTGTGCGTATGGCCCTGCGTGTCTGCATCTGTGTGCGTGTGTATATCTGTGCCTGTGTGCGTGTGTGTATCCGTGCCTGTGTGCGTGAGTGTGTCCGTGTGGGTGGCCGTGTCTGCATCCGTGTGTGTGTCTGTGTGAGGTTGTACATCACTCTCCGCGGCCACACTATCGCCCGTTCGTTCATTAACCTGCACAACGGGCGCATCCGATCCTCCGGTCCCCTTCACTCCTCCTTTATTGTCCACACCCAGTGCCGGTTGCAATTCCGGGACGATGCGGAGCATTTCCGGGACGTGGGTAGCCATCGGCAGCAGCCGTGGGTCGTCGGAGAGTGCTGCTGACTGTTGCAGCACTGTGCGTAGTACGCCACTCAGTGCCACCCCAGCAGTATCTGCGGGATGATTGCACAGTCAGGGTTTAGGGTTTAGGGTTTAGGGTTTGCGGTAAACACGTTGGGTAGAATAGTACTTACGGTTTAGTTTATTGTGAGGTTTCATGCGAAAGGACTCCGTAGCAACACGTCTATAGCTATTCTGATTGGACGTGTCTCCCAAAAATTCATAGTGCGATGGTACTACTGTGTGTATTGCTGCAGATAGTGACAATCCCACGAGCCGTTCCCATAATCAGATACGATCAAGCCAGCATGACGTTAATCAATTTTTCAGATGTGCACAGAAGTGCACACATTTGTGTACGAAATAGCAACAAATTGCAGACGTAAGTATAGGTACATGTTCGTTGGCGTTATGAGCAGTACATTTCAAATACCACTTCAAATCAAACACAGGGGGGAGAAGAGTAAGTGCACGCGCAAATACAAACCCGCAGCAGCTGTGTGGAGAGTGACATGTACATGCACACACACAAACATACATACGTACACACATGTATAGATACACACACGCACATACTTACATACACACATGTATACATACACACACGCACATACATACACACATACATGTATACAAACACACATACATGTATACAGACACACACACGCAAATACATACAAACACATATGTATACATACACACACACGCACATACATACATACACACATGTATACATACACATACAAGCAAATACATACCTACACACATGTATACATCCACACACACGCACATATATACAAACACACATGTATACATCCACACACACGCACATACATACATACACACACACGCACATACATACATACACACAAGTATACATCCACTACAAGCACATAAATACATACACACAATACAGACACACACACGCACATACAGGTGAATTCACAAGTGATCCCAAACACATACACATGAACATACATACATGTATGCATATGTACATATAGATGTATACAACTATACGGACATTACACACGTGCACGCTACATCCAACCATACCATGTATGCATATGTACATATAAGTGTATACAACTATACGGACATTACACACGTGTATGCTACATCCAACCATACCCGTACGGGTATCAATATCTGTGATACCGTTGGCAACCGTTCGTTGAGACGTCAAACATGCCAGTAGGGCGCTTTCCCGAAGTTCAGAATTGGTGTGGGTTGCCGCCTGTTGAAGCCTACACGCAATATGATTGGCTAAGGAACTCTCGCCGTTTGGACTCGTCAGATGCAACCTGCGTCGCAGTACAGAAGAGCAAGTGTTAACCCTTATTAATAGACATGTCTTCATGTACATGCACACCAATAGATAAACTGTACTTCCTATTGATATACATGTCTTTATGTACATGCACACCTATAGATAAACTGTACTTCCTATTGATATACTTATCTTTATGTACATACACACCAATAGACAAACTACATGCACACAAATATATAGATTGTACTCCCTATTGACATACAGGTCTTTATGTACATACACACCAATAGATAAACTGTACTTCATATTAATATACGTATCTCTATATACATACACATCATTATTCTGGGCTAATCAATTGAATTCGAGAACAAGCGCACCTGTGTGTGTGTGTTATGGGGCAGATAGGAATACGCTAGTGTACATCTGCGTGTTTGTGCGTCTCAGTGGGCAGTATATACAGGGCATTGCATAGAGCTCACATGGATATCAAGACCGCAAATGAACACATCAAATAGGTGTACACAGAACAAATACGATGGTAGTGAGAGATTCTCGAGGTACAAATAATATTAACACCATAAGCAACCACGGGTAGTGTGTGCATAAGCACTAATGACATATATACACTGAACAGAACTGCACAACCATCCACTGAGTGCACACCATAGATTGCATATGAGTGCCAACTAAGTTTATAATAGATATAAACCCTCCATAAATACACAGAAGCACCATACGAACCCACCTGAGTATGAGCGTGATGCATGAGACGGCCAATGATGCGAGTGAGACGTCGGTGGAGAGTGTGTGATCGGCCACGGCAGAGACGACATCCTACAGGCGCAGAGACAGAGCACGCGTGGTGTGGGCAGCTGAGCATCGCATGTAATAGATATACACACACATGCTCAGATGGAACACAGATGAGCATCGCATGTAATAGATATACACATACATGCTCAGATGGATATGTACAGATGTCTGTTCGTGCGAGTGTTTGCTCAGGGGAGTGGGCACATATACGAAAGTAACTAAATTTGGTCGCAGATACAACGAAGCGAAAGAAATGAAAGTACACAACAAACATCAGAGGTAAATTGTGAAATAAGATAATGTGGCGAGAAGCAACGAAGCTCATGAGATGATAACCTCAACCATGGCGTGGTGTGTTGTAGGGTTTTGTAGTGTGTTGTGGTGTGTCGTGGTGTGTTTTAGGGTTTTTGGTGCGTGTTGTATACCTGCCATAACGGCTGAGTGGCGAGCGCTCGGCGGCTGTGGAGGGCATCCTTCTCAGAGAGTGCCTGTAGTGTGAAATGTGGGCATGATCCCGGAATAATACGTCAATATCACACTAATAAACTGCCCATTCTGCAACTTAGACATCCATAACAAAGAAATAAACGTTTGTACGCGTGTGAGAGCCCTAGTTTGTGAGCATTCTGATACATAAAGAGATGCGCAACGTATCTTTGACTCGAACGAGTGCTCGTCATATTATTTCATTCTTTCGGAATAACCATGCACCAATCACAGCACTACCGTATGAATAAAATAGGATAGAAGTGCCAAAAGCAGTGACTGTATATAATCAGATACAAGTGCCAAATTCAGTGACTGTATAAAATCAGATACAAGTGCCAAAAGCAGTGACTGTATAAAATCAGATACAAGTGCTAAATGCAGTGACTGTATAAAATCAGATACAAGTGCCAAATGCAGTGATTCCACAGGGCGATCGCACTCAGACAAACATATGTACTAGATGTCTGCACCAAAGCAACACATACCTGTAGAGCCCATAACTGCATAGCCATCAACACATACCTTTAGAGCTCATAACTGTATATATAGACATCAACACATACACACATACGTGTACACCCCATATATACTGGACATCTATACTGTAGCCCCTATTATCGGCACACAACCTACACTCAACAACACCCTCCTGCAGCAATACCGCACACCACTAGTCTGTTCTATTGCACACCCATCACGCTAAACTCTAAAACCCTAATCACCTAAAACCCAAAACCTCTGCGCAGAGGCCCGCCCCACACACCTGCGCACTCTCCACAAGACCCAGTACATGGCGCAGCACATCCAACGTACTCAGCAGCACCTCTCGCGTGGCCGTAGCGTCGCTTAGAGCGTCCCGTGCGACGCTTAAAACAGCGCCCATCCCAGACGCACTCGACAGCGATGAGCTCAGCGCCAAACTGCGGGCACTTGATGGCGTGTGGGCTGTCTTGGTGCACGCACGCGTGTGTGTGTGTGCGTGTGTGTGTGCGTGTGCGTGTATGTGTCTGTAAGGGGTGCTGGTGTAGTCCTGTGTGTGGGCATGTGGTGATGTGGGTAGGTAGAAGTTGGCGCTGTGGCCAATGGAGTGCAGCGTGCGCATCAATGTGAGATACGCCTCGGAGCTGACCCCGAGTAGGTGCACGCGCGTTGCCATGGCAACGTCCTGCGCGTTACCTACCTCGAACACGCTGTAGCTAAGCCCATCCCTACCCGTCCTCTGTAAATGTGTAGGTGCGCATGCGTGTGTGTGCGGTTGTTTGTCAGGCACCACACTCAAACACCCCACGAGGGTCTGCACCACACTGTCGTGTAACAGCCACCGCTGCCCACACGCCATGAGCACTTCGCCTACCACGTAGCAGTCGAAGGCGATACACACACTCAGCTGCGCCACTCGCGCCTGTGCGTGGGTGTATGTGAGCGTGCGTGTTCCACCTGTCACTGATTGGGCAACGCCGACTCCTTCGGCTACTGGTGTGAAAGCACATCTCGTGGCATGAGAAGCACTCATGGCACCGGTTGTACTGCGGTGTTTCTGTGTGTCTATTGTATAGTCACACACACTGCCCATTCGCACGATAGCACGAGTGCACGTGTGCAAGTCGTTGCCTAGCAACGACCATACCCTCTCAGCTGATTGTAGAGAATTTTCGGCGTGGCCAATGACATCTCTCCACAGAGACGTGAGCGATTGCATGACAACCAATGGTGTGGACGTCGAGCGCAGTTTCCATAGCAACGAGTCTCTTCCCCACAACTGTTCATAGGCCGACAGATCTGAGGGGAAGGTTTAAATCGGGATATGGTTATTTCAAGACATTAGAGACTACCAATATGAAAGCAACTATAAGCAGCAAATATCTAACACTAGGACTATGCTAATCAATACAACCAATATTTAAGCAACTATAAACAGCTACTATCTAACACCAGGACTATGTTAATCTATACTACCAATATGTAAGCAACTGTAAATAGCTGTTATTTAACACCAGGACTATGTTAATCAATACTACCAATATGTAAGCAACTAAAAATAGCTACTATCTAACACCACGACTATGTTAATCAATACTACCAAAATGTAAGCAACTATAAATAGCTGTTATCTAACACCAGGACTATGTTAATCAATACTACCAATATGTAAGCAACTATAAACAGCTACTATCTAACACCACGACTATGTTAATCAATACTACCAATATGTAAGCAACTATAAATAGCTGCTATCTAACACCAGGACTATGTTAATCAATACTACCAATATGTATGCAACTATAAACAGTTGCTATCTATCACCAGGAATATATTAATCAATACTCTCAATATGTAAGCAATTATAAACAGCTACTATCTAACACCACGACTATGTTAATCAATACCAGCACTCTGCTGATACAACCGCTCAGTCCTATACACAACCAGTTACAACCCAAGACATGGCAAAGAGACATCGCCCTATACTCAGATACCAGCACACAGCACAAGCACACAGTTCACTGTGCAACGGTAAGGAGATACGAGTAGCGTGTAGTGCCCCAGCCACTACCTAGTAGTTGGGAATAACACCTGCACCTTCATTAAACCCCCACAAACTCAAGATAAATGGCTTCCAGAGGCAGCCACACCATGCACACCTTGGCATTAAACTTTTGGATCGATCAACCGAATAGGGACATTTATATGACAGATACCCCCATGCAATGCATGCACTATATCATTAGAACGCCCATGCGCGTATAGGTCAGCCACGTGCAGATATAATAGCACACGGTAGTCCTAGCAGGCATGCCCACACGCTAGAACACACATGTCTCTCGAGCTCACACGACACTCACACTGATCTACAACAGCTGGAATAGGCAAGAGCTAACTCACATGCAGAACACCACAGATCACAAGCGGTGCGGATGTACTCACGTCATATGCCGGTGGACAAATAATACGATGTTTCGTCACAACGTGAGTTGAACAACTGGTGCATATATATATATATATAA